TAGTTGCTGTAGGCATCTAAACTTATTAAGTTGTTCAGAGTCAGGCATATGTGTAGGCTGTGTCCTGGAAGGCTAGATGCATCCTCATCGGAGAGGTGTATGTTTACAGTGTGCATAGGTGAGGGTTCTGTGTTGCCAAGTGCACTTTTAGGAGTGGGATTTGTGTGTAGCCTGAGCCAAGTGGGTTCAGCTTGCTAAGATATTCACTGTGTTTGCCTGCCTCAATATGAAGCAAGACTGTTAAGACAAGGAAAATTAAGATACAGTGACTGAAAAACCAAAAGGCTCACAAGATTATGAATCATGCTTACAGTAAAACACGTTTTATCTTCAATTGTCAACTTGACACAGCCTAGAGTCATGTGAGGAAAGCCAAGATTGAAGAGGCTCCTTGGCCTGTGGGCACATATTCTGGGGATGGTCTTGACTGATTTTACTGATGTGTGAGGGCTCGACCCATTGTTGGTGGTGCAATCCCTAGGTAAATTGTTCTCAGTTGTGTTAGAAAGCAAGCCAGTGAGCAGTATTCCTCTTTGGTTTCTGCTTCAATTTCCTGTTAGAGTTTTTGCCTTCACTTTCCTTGATGATGAACTAAAACCTGGAAGTATAAACCCAATAACCAACTTTCTTTTAGTTAGAGTGTTTTATCACAACAACAGAATCAAATTAGAATGTTAGAATGTAGGGCCCTGCATGGACCCCTGAGGCACCTTGAGCTAGCCTGAAGCTGTTGGCTGGAACTCCTTGCCCCAAAGCTGTTATTGGTACTCTTCCTGTTTTGATAACACATACCCCACAGGGAGGAGCTAAGCCTAAAAATCCTGCTATTTTCAACTGTTCTGTAAATCAGTATTTAAGCCCATTCCATCCCCTCAACAAACGGCATTCAGCATTCGGCGTTCCGATATTGCCATTGAACGAATGACCTGCTGTCTTGTCTCTTTATTTCAATCTCTAGGCCTACAAGTGGAGGTCCCACCAAAATCGGGAAAGAAAAAATTACCTAAGAGATCGCCCTCAAAGGCCGGCCGGCAAATAAGTGCATGAGGGTGTAATGAAGGATGGGTGCCAGTAACTCTAAGGAAATGTTCAGTGGCCAATTAGTGGCCCTATTGAAAAGACAGGGCACCGGAATTAAAACAAGACAGCTAAAGAATTCATTGCCATAAAGTAAAAGAAAAAAATGGCAGAGATGATTAGGACTTTTGAGAAAGTACAAAATTTAGAGTCTGTGAAATCTATCAGAGAACAAGAGGGATCTCAACTAGTAGATGGTAATCCTACTGTAACTAATGATGAAAAAGATAATTTGGAAGTAGAATTTGAGCAATTAAAACAAAGAATTTCTGAAGCTTATGATCACAAATGACATCTTGTATTATGTATGTATGTTGTGTATGCATGGTGTGGCCACACAAATGCGTGTATGAAGTGTGATTATGAATGTGTGAATCCTAACAAAAGGTACTATTTGAATAGCTTGGGATGTAGTAAAAAAAAAAAAAAAAAATCAGGTTAGTGTCTTAATTGGAATGGTTGGCAATTTGCGACTCTCACAGCTGGCCTCCAGAGTGGGTGGGCCGGAAATGGCCAAAGCCAGCATGATCTAAGAGCCAAAGGAATCTGTATAATGATTCGATAGCATTTAGCATAGGAGTGCATACTGCTGTGACTCCAGATTATAGTACTCAGCTTCTTAAATGGTCTTTTCAACCTTTTGTGTTAAGTCCTATCCCTGTTAATCTTTGGGGAAGGGATATGCTTCAGGCCATGGGAGTGGTCCTTACTACTGAGCCTGTTAAAAATATGCTGGCTGACCAAGGTTATGTACAAGGAAGAGGATTGGGAAAATTCCTCCAAGGTTGGGAAATTTTCCTTAGGGGCTATTGCTGTGCATCCTGTTCCCATTCCTACTTTCTGGAAAACTGATAACCCAGTATGGGTAGAGCAATGGCCCTTATCTATTGAGAAACTACAGGAACAATTAGAGGCAGGACATATTGCTCCTTCCACTTCCCCATGGAATACTCCAATTTTTGTTGTAAAGAAAAAAATCTGGAAAATGGAGATCTCTGAGCTGTTAATGATTGTATGCAAATTATGGGAGCCACACAACCTGGCTTACCTTCCCCTGTAGGTATTCCTCAAGGCTGCCATTTATTAGTTATAGACCTAAAAGATTGATTTTTTTTTTTTTTTTTTTTTTTAGCATTTCCTTGCATCCTCAGGATAGTGAATGATTTGCATTTAGCATTCCTTCTGTTAATTTAAAAGAGTCCTATAAGAGATATCAATGGGTGGTGTTGCCTCAAGGAATGGCCAATAGTCTCACTATTTGTCAAATTTATGTATCTTTGGCCATTGACCCCATTAGGGAGAAATTTCACTCCCTGTATATTATACATTATATAGATGATATTCTTTTAGCTGGCCCAGATCCTAAGGCTTTGGGGGAATTTCAACATAATCTTCAACTAGCTGGCTTAAGAAAAGCCCCAGAAAAGGTACAACAAAAATTTCCCTATCAATACCTGAGTCATCAATTGTTATATTCTAGTGTCTGTCCTCAAAAGATTACTTTAAGGCTGGATAGATTGACCACCCTTAATGATTTTCAAAAATTATTGGGAGATATAAATTGGGTTCTATCTAGTTTGGTTCCCTTAGAAACTGCTGCCTATATAGCTCCAGTCTCTGGTGTACAGGAACATTTACTAGCCATACAAAGCCTACTATGGAGGCACTCTCATCCAATTTTTGTAGGACATCTTCTAGCATATTCTGATTTGCCCGGCCCTTTGAGTGAAGGAAATGCCGTTGCTGATTTTAATACTAAAACAGATAGTGCCATTATGATGATGAGAGAGTCTGGTTATGAAGCAGCCTGCAAAGCTCATACAACCTTCGACCTTAGTGCAGGGTCACTTAAATTCCATTTTAAAATTACTAGAGACCAAGCTATTAATATAGTTAAGAACTGTCCCCTATGTGCAGAGTTCTTACCTGTTCTACACCTTGGAGTTAATCCCCGGGATGTCATGCCTAATGATATCTGGCAGATGGATGTTACCCATGTTCCTTCCTTTGGCTGACAACAATTTGTTCATGTATCTGTGGATACCCATTCTCATCTCAAATTTGTCTCTGCCCACACTGGAGAAAGGCTTAAGGATGTTAAGAGCCATTGTTTGCAAGCTTTTGCTTATATGGGAATGCCCAGACAATTAAAAACTGATAATGGCCCTGCTTATACTAGTCATGGTTTCAACTCTTTTTGCAAAAAAAAAAAAAAAAAAATTATCTCACATAAGATGGGCATCCCTTACAATCCTCAAGGTCAGGACATGGTGGAGCGTGCACATGGCACAATTAAAGTCTATCTTCATAAAACAAAAAGGGGGGAATTTACAGGGTCTCCTCATAAGCACCTTTCTCTTGTCCTTTATATTTTAAAATTTTTAACTCTTGATGGTGCTGCTCAAACTGCAGCCAACAGGCATTGGTACCCTCGGCCATCTGACTATGGCTCAGTTATGTGGAAGAATGCCACTACTGGACAATGGTGCGGCCCCAACCCAGTCCTAGTGTGGGCCCTAGGGTCAGTTTGTGTCTTTCCACAAGATGCAGATAACCCTGTTTGGGTGCCTGAGTGTCTGATTCTCCATGTGGAGAAGGACTGTGATTGAAGCAGCCAGAAAGAAGGTCTGATGGGCCTTCATTAAGGATCTACCCATTCTGATGCCTGTGGGTCTGAGTAGCCCTACATGGCCCTTTTTCCTGACCACAAATTATAGTTTGGGTAAAGCAGCTATAAATTTACCCTTTGGTCCAAAGGATACAGATTTCACCTTCATTTCAGGCACTTGTGTTCTGGTTCTGTTCCTTTTTGTTGTAACTAATGCTACTAATTTTGGAGGAAGTTTCAATTGTTCTCAGCAGGTCTGCCAGCTGGTTAGCTGCTGGACGTATGAAGTAACAGCTTGACAACCAGAGTTTGATGCTCCAAACTCACGGAACCTACACACAGTGGAAGGAACAAGCCAACTTCACAAAGTTAGTCCCTGACCTCCACATAGGCACATCCTAACACATAAAATAAACTTAAAAAATAAGTTCTAAGATTCTGAAGAGTTTCGTTTCAACAAAGCAAAACTGAAAAAAAATTTAAGAGAAAAGAATTATGGCTTCATTTTTAAAAATTCACTGGATTTAAAATCTTTTATATATTTTTAATTTATGCATATGTGTATGTCTGTGGTTACACAGACACGAGCCAGGTACCTGTGGAGGTAATAGACGTTGGCTCCTCATGGAGCTGCATTTACGTGTAAGTCTCTTGACCTGGCATGAAATGAGGGTCCTCTGGAAGAGTAGTACATGCTCTTAACTAAATGCTGCTCCCTATCCCCCTGATAAAAGGGTTTTCTTTGTTTTTTGCCTGTTTTTAATAATTCTTGGGCTGCTGTGTGGGACTGTATAGAGTGCCCCCCAACATGTATGCTGAATATTAGTCAGTCGTCCTCAGGACCAACTCATACTTTCCCACATATCTTTATTAAACCCAGATGCCTTTTAATTTAAAAAGTGGAAGCAATTGTTTTATTTTTTATTTCCTGCTGGAGTCATGTAATCCTGGAAATGCTTCTCTCCTGCTTTATGAAAATACCAGGTACTTAGCTAATTAAAAGTGCTACTCTTAGAGTCTTGTTTATTTAAAAAGTGTCAGTTTTCAGGATGTTTTATGTAAGTCTCAATAAAATTACATAGAAGATGACCAAATGCTCTTTTTTCATAAGCTATCCTTGAGGTCATCACTACCTGAAAATGACTAAAAGCAAAAATGATCTGAGGGTTGCAGCATGATAAGATCAAATTGATGGCATGGTAATTATACCAAGTACCATCCAATCACTTGGTAGAATTTACAGTTGATCCCTAGGCTTAGGTGCAGGTGGAAACATGCAATTTGTATTACTCTGCTTCTATAAAAGGCACTGGGAGACTTTATCAGCTGCAGTTACTGAACTATCAGGAGACGAAGTTGAAATTCCTCTTCAGATCTACAATCAACTGCCCAGAGCAGGTCCCTCAAAAAGTCCAGAGGAAGGTAATGTGATGAATTAATTTTGGGAATTTTAATTAAGGAGTAAAATATTTGAGATCACAGGGAAGGCTTTTCTGTACAAACCTTGTAAGAAGATAATTAGGCATTTATTAATATTCTTTACAGTGTTCATGCCTGAATTAGGAGGAAGTCTATAAAAGTGTAGTGTGTGGTCATAAGCTAAATAAGATGTTATGTAGAAGAAGCCAGAAGCCAAGTGTCTTTTGCTGAGATGCTAGAGTACCTGTCAAAATCTAAAATACTTTCTCAAGAACCACTGTCCATCTGAAGAATATTCATCTGAGTGTCTTTCAGAAACCAGGCAGAGGGCAAGTAGACATTATATAAGTTGCTGACATCATTTTATTATCAGTTTCAGATGATGCGTAACTAAATTTTCGAGTTGGCTATATCAATAAAGCACCTTGTATGTTTAGTGAAACGCCATACATTCTAGTATACTTTAGGTGCTTTAGCGTTTTTAATTATATCACTGGAACTTGGGTGTTGTTTTCATTTTCTTTTTCATAAAATTCTATAAAATAACACCTGGTCTGCATTTGCCAGGTATTACTGATGACCTTGTAATGATAAATCTGTTTCCAAGTCTAAGTGGGCAGTTGTAATGAGATTTTGAAATCTTTTTTTCCAGCTACCTTATAATTGGCATATTGTGTGAGCACTGTATATTCTTGGATCCGACCAACCTCAAATTTAAAAAAAAAATTAAAATTTATCAATTCAATTATTCATTGAGCAATAAAATATAACAGATATTTCCATAACTCTTGTATTCTTTTAAATATATGACAGGCAGAGCCTGGGATTTCTGTAGAGTATTCCTGCAGAATACAAAAACAGTTTAAGAATAATAAACCTAAGTTTAGATTGGCTATAGTTTTGCAAAGTAGTATAAATTGCAACGGAATGTAATTACTTTTTTCTGCTCCAGTTCTTAAGTTTTTTCTTTCAAGTTGTAAAACAGAGTAGTGTAACCTGTAAACCTGTCACAGTGGCATCTGCCTGTCATCCCAGCAAGCAGGAGGGGAGGTAGGAGAATTCCAAGAGTTCATGTCTAGTCTGATTATACAGTGAGTTCCAGATCAAGCTGGATTCTAGGGTGGAACCTCAAAAGGTGTTCAAAAGTTTTAGCAATTTAAGAAATGCAAATTAAAGCAATCCTGATATTTTGTCTTGTTTGTTTGTTTGTTTTTGTTTGTTTTTCCAGACAAAGTTTCTCTGTATAGCCCTGGCTGTCCTGAAACTCACTCAGGCCCAGGCTGGCCTTGAACTCAGAGATCTGCCTGCCTCTGCCCGTAAATGCTGGGATTAAAGGTGTGCACCACCACACCTGGCTTGAAATTTTATCTTACCCCAAGTGAATGGCTAAGTTCAAGAAAACAACTGACAACAAATACTGGCTTGGATGTGGGGAAACGGAAATTTTCATTCATTGTTGTTAGGATTGCAAACTGACACAGCCACCATGGAAATCAGTGTTGTGAATTCTTAGAAATTAAATACAAATCCACCATATGACTCAGCTATACTATTTCTTGGTATATGCCCAAAGGACTCAGCATACTACTGATCTGCTCAACCATTTTCATTGCTACTTCATGCGTAATAGTTAGGAAGTTGAAACAACATAAATGTTCTTCAATTGATGAATGAATGGATAATGGAAGCATGAGGCATATACACAATAGAACCCTATTCAGTTGTAAAGAAAAAAAAGTGAAATAGTGAAATATTGGGACAAATAGAACTAGAAAATCAATGAGACAACACAAAACCAGAAAGACAAAACATATATGTTTTCTCTTAGTTGCCAATGCTAGCTTTGGGTCTTTAGATGCTAGATGGAGTAATTACAACACCAGGAAAATAAAAAGGGACCGAGGTGGGACATAAGGGAGAACAGGAGCACGAATGCTCTGAAGGGGAAGTGGAGAAAATCGATGAGGGAGACACCTGGAGAGGGAAAGGAGGGGGCAATACAGTGAGATGGATGAGGGGTAACTAGCACTAAGGATGTTTGGGAAAGCTATAGGGAATGCTATTGTATTGGTACTTAAAAATGCGTATAGTGTATATTTGTCCATGTATGTATCTACATGAATGTGTGTATATATGTACATATATACATGTCTGTCTGTCTGTCTGTCTGTCTGTCTTAAAGGTATGCCTATTGGTATGACAATGCTCTTCCTCAAATGATAGACTAACCAAACCTCAAGTGGCCTAGCATGAGAAAACTTGAGTTGCTGGTCAGGGGAGTCCATGAGACACTTCTAAGGACTATTGCTGTTTCCCCTTAGTGCCTTCTAGAAAAGAAGGTAAGACTTTATTGTCAAAGACTATACATGTTTCAGGAAATGGATTTGGAGAAATCAACTTGGGCCTAATATGGAAGCGGCTTTGCTGAGGATTAGCTCTCATAGTTTCTCAAGGAGCCATGCATACTGCCAACAGAGAAAAACAATCAATAGTCCTACCTAGCTATAACATCAACAAACCACAGCAATGGACAGTACAATAAGATACTCTGTCTGAAAGATACAATAGGTCATTTATATCCTTTGGGTAACCAACAGTCACCTAGTTTGACTTAAGGCCTACCCAACAGATGAGAATTCATGCCAGACACAGTAAATCTAGCCAACTCCCTCTGGCTGATGAAGCCACAGAACCTAAAGGAGACCTGCGATTGCCAGTTTCCTATGACTGTAAGTTTCCTAACTTTATGGTAAATGTGTATCCTTATATCCACAGGTAAGTCTCATCAGGTGGAAATCATTATAGAAAGCCACAGTTGGTCAATTTGTGGAGATTAACTGATCTTGGGGTGCCTGTCCCCAATTAATACATTTATAGCACAGGCCCTACATTTAAGACTCAGAACATCATGGAAGGGAAGGTGAGATGGAAAGACTGTGAGAGCCAGAGGACTAGGATGTCTGCCATGACATAATTTCTTCTAAACATCAACAATAACAAAAAGGAAGGATTTTGGAGGAAAAGTAAGAGGATGAATATAATCAAGATACATTGCATAAATTTTTCCTAAGAATTATCAATTTATAATATTAATGTCAACAATTATACTATTAATTTTAATATTTTATAGTATTCTAGTATTTAAAAACAAAGCATGAAACCATTTTTCCCCTCCAGAATAATCTGAAGATGACAAGAATGTCTGAAAAATTTAAATCCTTTAAAGAACACCTGCATGTTCAGTGCTAATCCTTTTTGTCTAAATTGTCACTTTTAAAAGTAAAAGTAGAGCTGGGCATAGTGGCCTGCGCCTTTAATTCCAAAACTAGGGAGAAGAGGCAGGTGGATCTCTAAGTTTGAGGCCAGAATGCTCTAAAGAGTGAGTTCCAGGACAGCCAGAGCTACATAGTGAGTGAGAATCTGTGTCAAAATGAATGAATGAATGAATGTAAAACATTCGTAAGGTGGCTCAAAACCATCTTTAACTCCAGTTTCAGCAATTAGGAGGCAGATGCAGGTGGATCTCTGAGTTCAAGGCCAGCCTGGTCTACAAAGCAAGTTCCAGGACAGCCAGGGCTGTAACACAGAGAAACCCTGTCTCTGAAAACCAAAAAAAAAAAAAAAAAAAAAAACAAAAACCAATTAGAACAGTGGTTATGTTTTAAGTATATATTTCTATTTCGATTATACATTCATTATTTGTTATATTTATTTTATATACTATTATATAAATACAACTGTTTCATTTTATAATAAATCATTATATTATATTAAACACATATAAAATTGCTTGGGAGATGAGGCAATGGAATCAAAAATTCAAGTTCATCCTCAGTTGTAAAGTGAATTTTAGACAGTCTGGATTATCTGAAACCCTAGCTACTTAACTGAACTGAATGAATGAGTGAGTGAGTGAATGGATAGATAAGTAAATAAATGAATAACAAAGTAAGCAAACAACTGAACAGCAAGAGAAGCTACCAGACTATTTACCAGAGTGCCTGTACCCCTTTACATTCCCACTGGTGATGTCTCTGTTATCTAGTCTCTTGTATTCAGACCAGCGTTTGACATTTCTTTATAACTGTTCTGGTGATCACACCTAACTACTCCATTAATTACACAGGGAGGCTGAAGAATTGCTGTGAAGTCGTGGCTGGAGGTGGGAGGGGAAGGAAAAGAGAGACAGTTGTTATATGCTAGATGCTTATGTCAGAAATAGGGAGATACAGTGTCCTGCCTTATTTACATGGCTGTAGGTATGTTGGGAGCTGAAAGCAGAGGGGACAAGACATAATGATTATTATGAGCAATGATGTTTGTTGTTGGTACTAGGGCTATGGCTCAGTAGTAGAGCAGTTTCTTTGCATGCCCAAAGCCAGTAACAATCAGTTAACAGAATGATGCTAAAACTACTGGGTTTGTGTCATGACGGTAAGCTAAGAATAGACTGTTCTTATTTTTATGCTTTTTTCTCATGTGCAGCTTGCAGGAGAATGATGGATTACTACAGAAAATATGCAGCTGTCATTCTAGTTATGTTGTCCGTGTTCCTGCATATTCTTCATTCGCTTCCTGATGGAGACTTTATGATTCAGGGTATGTGACCGAACTCTAGATACACATCAGTGACCATGAATTAATCCCTGCCACCTTTAACACATGATAAGTATTCACTTCTGGGTACATATCTAGGCACTTGTAGACTGTGAACACAAAATTAAATCTGGTTCAGAAAATGTACAGTGAAAATGTTATATTCCGCATTCATTTTAATGGCATCCTAAGCATGTTTGTATGAAGGACGTTTTTTATTGTTCCATATCTGACTTTTACAAGGAGAAAAATCATCCTGACTCAGCTCATTTTTTTCACATTTCTTCCAGATTTCAGAAAATGTTAACATTATTTTTGCAGATGAATTTTTCCCTATCAGTTAACAAGTAAAGGAAACAAAAATCAGTTTTGTGCGTTAAATTTGTTTTGTTATATTATTTGACACATCTACAGAACCTGATATAATCCTACCACCACTGAAATTGTGAACTATTATTTATTATGTCTTCTCTCTTGCTAAATGGTAATATTTAAATCTCAAATTCTAAGCACAGATGTCTTTACTGTTATCAAGCTATCTTAACTCACCAAACTTTCTTAATTCTTATCATTTCTTTTCTGTCAACATTTGGAGTTTCTATGGAGAAAAACAATAGCAGACTTGCCTCTGGAAAAATTTTCCTTCCAAATGAGTGTGGCATTTATATCTCTCAAGCCCTTGTGTTCTCTTTAAGCATTCTATTAGCGTTGGGATAGTCTGTGCTTGGAAAAAGAGAAGCCACTCTAACAAATTCCCTATGCAGGTATGCAAAAATGGTCTGTCTGTGAATGTATCTGTAGCAATTACAAAGAGATAGTATATGTGAAGATTAATATGTAGACAAGCATATTTCTTTCTTTTTTATTGCCAATGCAAAAAGTATTGGTCATGCTGTACTCAGTCAAGAGTTAGTTTGTGTTTGAATCATTTCTAGGTAATTTCTTCCTTCTCTCTTTTGCTGCCTAGGTTGCCCAGAATGTAAACTAAAGGAAAATAAATACTTCTCCAAGCTAGGTGCCCCCATCTATCAGTGCATGGGCTGCTGCTTCTCCAGGGCATACCCAACTCCAGCAAGGTCCAAGAAGACGATGCTGGTTCCAAAGAACATCACCTCGGAGGCCACATGCTGTGTGGCCAAAGCATTTACTAAGGTGTGAGCTTCTCCACAGTCCATCCAGAGGCAGTCTGTACTCAGAGGGTTAACGTTCAAGTTGTCTAGTGACCTGTATTTATTGCCCCTTTGTATAGGTAACACCTGTGTTTTTCCTCTTTAATTAATAGAAAAAGCTAAATAAAAGCATTGATGACACAGAAGCGGAAAGAACAGTAGTTGCCATGCTCTAAAAAATTAGTAGAAGGTGAATACATGGTTAGACAGTGATAAGAAAGCATAGCATAGGCAAAGCAAGTGCTTGGGTTTTACAGAACAGCTATGTATTGGCAGTTTACCACCATTTATTACGTTGAGAACTAGAAGAGAAGGGTTCAAAAGCTGATAGCACAAAGAAATGACACAGCATGTTAGAAGAATGAAGATACTACCACCTTGATTGATCATGATACTTTGTATGTATCAGTTATCAAACTATACTCCATAAATATGTGTGATCAATATATTCTAAAAGGGAAATAAAGCATGTGGGTGTAGTGGAGAATTCCTATAATCTCACCATCCATAAACTAGAGGCAAGAAGATCCTACGGGTTCTAAGTCTGCCTGGTTGGAACTGGTGAGATGGATCATGTGAAAAGGCATTTGCTGACAAGAGGAATGATCTCAGTCAGATCCCCAGGACCCACAAGATGGAAGGAGGGGAACAGATTCTTTTCAATTGTCATGATCGGTCCCACCCTACACACTGTGTATGCGGGAGAGAAAAGGCCCACTTGGTCTTCACAATGAACTCTAGGTTAGCTAGGTTAACATAATATAATGATGTCTCAAAACAATGACAGCAAAAGTAAAAACAAACAAAACCCCAGCAACCTGGGGGACATATGTGAATCTTTGAAATTTGACTCTTAAGAAATCTGTATGTGTGTGTTGGGGTTACCAAGTAAATAGGTAGTTTTAAGGGGGTAGAGGATATAGTTCAATGGCCAAGTGCTTGCCTAAGAAATGCTGAAATAAAAAAAATTTAAACACACACAGAGAGAGAGAGAGAGGAAGAGAGAGAGAGGAAGAGAGAGAGAGAGGAAGAGAGAGAGAGAGAGAGAGAGAGAGAGAGAGAACAGATCTAAATAAAGGCAGGCTGAAAAGAGCACATTGTGAATTTAACAGTTAGAATGAATGTATTCCCAGAAAGTGAAAATGTAAGTCTACCAAACATTTATTCAATTATGCTGGCTACCATTTTATTTGACATTTCACAGTTTTGCCTGTCTGTCGTGTCTACCTGTTTCTTTTCTCCTTTAGGCCACAGTAATGGGAAATGCCAGAGTGGAGAACCACACGGAGTGCCACTGCAGTACCTGCTACTATCACAAGTCTTAGCTTTTGACAAGGGGCTGTGCTGGCGTCGCTGGTCTGTGGGATGGCACTGTGTGATGCCACCTCCTTCTTTACCAGACTTGTGATGTACTTCAGTCATTCACTGCAGCTTTATTCACTCCCCTTAACCCGCTGTAATCAGCAGTCTCTTTTTATTAGGGAAATAGTATTTGGCATGATCATGAAAGTTGTTTCCATCAGAAATAAAGCCTTTTAAATCATCAATCACAGAATTGTCACCATCTTTAAAACTAAAGCTATTTACTTTTGACAAGATTTATCAAAAGAATGGTCCAATGTGTTGAATTGGGACCACATACATTCAGTGACCCAACACTTGCTTCCCATCCAGCCTTCTGGAAGCAAGCTATCCATTCTGTCAGCCAGTGAGCTATTTATCCATAATTCATTCAGGTGGGAGAAAAAGGTATGAAACTTCTATTTTTACTCATGTTCAGCTCCCCTTTATAGCTCTATTTTAATATATTGCATCAAAACACAGATGTATTATTATGATAACACATGCATATAAATTATAAGTAAGTATACATATATTATGGATATTTGAAATGTTTTCACTGGTGAAAATGTACAGTCGATAAGCAAAAAGCAAAGTATACTTCCCCTGAGATGGAGAAGGGCAAAATCTTTCTAATCATAAATTTTCTATCTATGTGGTTTTTGTATACCCAGAATGGCTGAGTGGTGGTTAGGAACAGGGCATCGATGTCCTCAGATAAAATAACATTGCTCTAAAATTCTAGGAAACAAAATTTTTGAGTCATATATTTAAGCAAGTCAGAGTGTGTGGGGAAAATATGACAAGAGTAAGCTTGCCAATGAGCTCTGGGGGGCGCGGGTAAAGGGAGGGTTAAAAAGAAGAGGAAAGCTACAGGAGGGGGTAAAAAGAAGAGAAAAGCTACAAATACACCCTTGACTAGAGTGTCCTTATTAGTCAGAGATCATCCTGTGTTACAGAGGTAATTGAAAGGATGATAAAATTGTAATGGGACAAAGGGACATCCCCATGATCATCCAGATCAGACAAATTGACCTAGAAACCATTAGGATGAAACATCACAGCCAGATGGACGGATCTCCAGTGCCAGGTAGAGTGGTACATGACATAAACAGATCTTTCTCTGGGGCAATTAACAGACACAGTTTATATCTGGAGAAAAGAGACACAAACTATGTATGGTAGGAAGAGGGGCTGATCTTGGGCAAGAAAAGGAAAAACAAAGAACAACCATGTGGGCTGGCCAGTGTTCATGTGTGTACATGAGGGGTGGTCAGTATGCCTACCTATGTGGACATGTGAATCAGCCAAGTCTGTAGTTCCTTACTTTCCTCTTCCTTCTATTCTAGCCATTACTGCTTAGTAGTATGAAGTATCCAACCAAAAGGAAATAAGCCAGAAATGTATGAAAGCCTCAACTATGCAACATTCAGGGTTCTAGCTTTTGGAAAACACTCTGTAAGAAACCTATAGGCTGGGACAAACTACTGCCTGGTGAAACAAGTCTTGGGGACCTCTTTCATGAACCAGTAAACTTGGGATTCTTAGATACTTGTAGCAGGACTATGATATTCTTTAAATAATTAAGAGTAAATAATGTACTTTTACATGAGACATTTAAACAAATAACAAGATAGATTAGATATAAAATTCAATCAATGAATGTCAATTACATCAAGAAAGTAAAATACAATGACATTTAATCATTTTAGCATAGGAAGAACAAACTAATATAGTACTAAGTATAAAACAAAGTATATCATAAAGATGGTCCCATTCTGAAATAAACACATGACTAACTGAATTCAAAGAGGAGTAAGTAAATCTTCTTTAGACATTTTTTCTCTTGTAGGTGAGGTGATCATGTTTCACTTTTATTGTATATCTGGCCATCACTTCTGGAGTTTGCCACAAATCCCAAGACCAAGCCCTTTCCCAACTCCGACTCTAAACTCATTCCCAACCCCAAGTCCTACCCCAACAACTCCAACCCCAACACCCACTCTAACCTGAACCCCCACGACAACAGCAACCACACCTTAAACCCAAACTTCAATTCCAACTCCAACCCAAACCCCTACTCAAGCAATGACCAGAACCCCAACCCAAACCCTATCCTCAACCTGACCCCATTCCCCAATCCCAATCCCAAAACCATTCAGGTCCCCAGTTTCATGCCAAACCACATATAATGCCTATCTTCAACCCAGCCCATTTCTACCTCAGGCTAAATTCAAACCCAAACCTCTACCTTAAGCCCTCAAACCTAATCCCAACACCAACCCCAACCCCATGTCTACCCCAATATCCACCCAATCTTAATCCCAAATCTAACCCCAATATCTACTCTGATCCCAACCCCAAGCTTGACTTCAATACTGCCCCACCTTCAAACCAATCTTATACCCATTCCAACACCAACCCAAGCTCATCCCAAACACAGTTGCAAACACAACTCCAATTCTAACCCTAACCTCAACCTCAACCCTAACCTCCAAACCAATACTCAAACCCAACCACCATAACCCTAACACAACCACAACTCCAAGCCTAATGTCTTAACTAGGGTTACTACTGCTGTAATCAAATACCATGACCAAAAGCAACTTGGGGAGGAAAGGTATTATTTCACTCACAATTCCATCCAACAGTTCATCAAAGCAATGAGGGCAGGAACTCACACAGGGCAGGAACCTGGAGGCAGGAGCTGGTATAGAGCTGTGGAGGAATGCTGCTTACTGACTTGCTTCTCATGGCTTGCTCTGCCTGCTTTCTAATAGAACTCAGGATCACCAGCCTAGGGATGGCCCTACCTATTAATCACTATTTAAGAAAACGGTCTATAGGTTTACCTACAGTCCACTCTTATGGAGTCACTTTCTTGATTAGGGTTCTTTCCTTTCAGATAACTCTAGTCAGTGTCAAGTTGACATAAAATTAGTCAGCATACCTAACAACAACAAACACAATACCAATTTTAACCTCAAAGTCATCTCCATCCCTACTCCCAACCTTGTTCTAATACCAAGCACAATTCTAACCCTAACCCCAACCCCCCCACAACCTCTACCCCTGCCCAAAACCCCAACCCATTCACAACCATCACCTCAAACCCAACACCATCTACATCCCCACCCCACTTCACCCTAGCTCCAACACCATTTATAACCCCCCACCCCTACTAGAAACCCCAACCCCATTCATAACCCCCACCCCTACCCCAAACTTTAACCCCATCCACATGCCTAGCCTCAAACCACAACCTCATTCACATCTATCACATCTACAACTCCCACCCCTACCCCAAACTCCAATCTTATTTACAAATCCTACCCCTACCCCACATCCCAATTCCATCCACAACACCCCAACCTCAAATCAAACACCAAGTTTAATACCAGCTGCAAATCAAACTCTAATCCTAACTCCAACATCATCCCTGACCCTGCTTTAATCCTGACTCCAACGCAACTGGAACACCAAGTCCATATCTAAACTCCATCCCACACCTGGCTATCTCCATCATCAACCATGACTTCCAACACCACCTTCATTCCTACATGAAATCCAAACCAGCCCCAAATTCAACCCCAGCTCCCAGCTCTAACCTCAATCCAACAAACACAAACCTCAAACACCAAACCTAATAATACCAAACCAAACTACAACCCTAACTTGAATCCTAAACTCAAAACCTAACACCAAACCAAAGCCTGATCACAACCTCAATGATTACTCCAAACCTTACTTCATCTACAACACTAACCCTATCCTCAACCACAACCACAAGCCCATTCCCAAGTCTTGCTCCTCCCCATGCTCAATTCAATCCCAATCCCATACCCAATGCCAACTCCAAACCTAACACCAACACCAACTACAACTTTAGCCATGTATGTATAAACGTAGCCATCTAATACTCACCACACACACCAGAGAAAAGACCACATTTTAGACAAATCATGCTGGGAAAACTGGAGTCTCACATAAAGAAGAATGACATTGGACAGGTACCTATCACCTGGTAAAAACTAACTCTAGACAGATAAAAGACCTAGAAGTGAAACCAGAGACACTATAGGAAGAACCCTATAGAGTATAGGTGTGGGAAGGGACTTACTGAAGAGGTCTACATTTGCCCAGGGATCCAGGACAACAGACTTTCCTGAACTCAAAGCAGTTGCCCATTGAGAAAACCTGAATAGGTACCAATGGGGTGGTGTACGTATTTTAATTTTCTACATTTTGCAAAATAGAACATATTCAGCTGCCAGATTTCATTCCTTTGCATACCTTTGGATTACTTCCTGTAGGCTGTAGAATTTAGTTGTATAAAGAACAAGTAAGACATTTCCTTATAATTTCCTTGGCTTGTTGCCACATGATGGAAAAGTCTTTTTTTTTTTTTTCTTTTTTAAACTTTTGTTATTGACATGAAGTTTTTTTTTTTTACATATAAAAATCTGAGGCCTCCAGCACATTGACAAACAATAATTGATCAATTTCTGCATTACCTTATGCTAGAGGACCTGGTGGACCTGTATGGTACTAGATGTGTATTATATATATGGAATGAATCCTATTTCTGATTATGTCTTATAACTAAATAAATAATAAAGTCAATTCTGCATCATCTGGTATAAACTCAGTTTTTAATATGCAAGAGATAGAACTCATAACACTAAAAATCTTCTGCAAAGTCAAAGAGAAAATCAATTGAATGATACTATATATAAATATATTTTAAAATTCATTTCTTTTGTTTTTCCTACCAAAAGCAACCAGATTCAATGCAATCCACATCAAAATTCCAACACAATTTTTTACAGACCTTGAAAGGATAATTCTCAACTTCATATGGAAAAATGAAACATTCAGGATAGCTAAAAACAATATTGAACAATAAAAGAACTGCTGCAGGTCTTACCATTTCTGATTTTGGGTTGTATTACAGAGCTATAGTAATAAAAGCTGCATGGCATTGATATAAAAACAGACACATTAATCAGTGGAATCAAACTGAAAACCCAGACATAAATCCATACACCTGTGAAAACCTGATTCTTGATAAAGAAGCCAGAAAAACATAAT